CAAATTTTGATCTTTTGAAATACGGCTTCCATGGAGGCGGAGCTCCATTGAGCCTTTTCGCATGTTATGCCTGCATCAAGTTGGAGGTTGGTGTATAGTCTATGGATCGGCCCTCTAGCAGTGGTGATTCTACTCAACAGGCTTCAATAGGCTCTAGCCTACCCTCAAAATTTGGCACACACAAATGTTAGAATATAAGTTGGGTTAAATATAGAGATAAGAAGTAGAGATTGAATAGGTTTAAACTATGTATTACTTGTCCTCTACTCCAAGTCTCTATCCCTCCGTTGTACCTTAATATATACCCCCACAAGGGTCAGATCAATACAACAACAACAAACATTAGTCATCCTACATTTTCCACATGATATTAAAGCGGTTAGTCTCACGACGCCGATCCTAGGACCTTCCTCCACCTCCGCAGCGCGCCGCCCCCGGGGGCGCGGCACCCGACCATCAAAAATGAGTTCGGTTCATTAGATTAGTTTAGATCAATATCTTGATTTTCCTTCTGATATTTCTTCTTTAGCCAAATAAAATTCGGCGATCTCCAACCCAGCAGCCGGACGGCGATGGAACGGCGCCATGGGCGCTCCTCCGTCTGCGGCACGCGGCATCAACCTACGATTCATGATCCGTCGTCGGCTGCCACACGCAGCAGTGACCCCGTGAGACGCGCGCACGGACGGGTGAGGACCAGATGAGATCTGCCTATGCAAAGGTCACCGATCCATGCGCTGGCCGCTAACCCCGCCATGGAGCAGTACGATATAGCCAGCAGCCCAGCAACACATGCACGAGCAGATGCATGTATCAACACCAGCTCATCTACATCAAGCCCGTCCAGCCTTGATCGATCGGCGCGAGCATGTCTGTGCAACAACCAGCTACGATCCGATCAAACCGTCGACGAGCCAGCCGCAAGCAAGTCCGAGTCAGCACCGACTGCAGCGAGAGGCTACGTTGCACGACGCGTCGTTCTCGGTTCACAGGAGGGCGTAGATCCTGCAGTGATTTCCATCGCGTACGAGTACACGGATCTCCCGACGGCGCAACCAGCAACTCCTTCGAATCAGCGGTTCAGCACCGAGCTACCCATCGCCAAGCGCCAACAGCCGCGTCGACTACACTCACGCAAGGAGCAGCAAGGAACACGGCCACGTGCGCATGCATACGTGCATGGCCGAACTCACAAAGACGTCCATGCGTACGCGCATGGCGTGGAGCCTTGGACTTCAGCCACGCGCCTTTTGCAAGGGTCGAAAGGCAACGACACGCAGGTCTCTGCGATCCGCACATGGGAACAATCACCATTGTGATCCGATCTGGAAGGCCCATAGGTTTTTGACTTCGAGGCACGCGCACGAACGCGATTTTCACCAAGCCGACTCCATCGACCTGTACGACTAGCCTGGCTGCCAGCCAACATACTTCATCGAGCACACCTATGAGAAGCGACCTCAACATGCACTGTCCACACGCCAGACTGGTGTGGAACAAGATGCAATCTTCATGGACTTCTCCGACACGGCACGGCATCGACACATCGTCGCCGTGAGGGACGCCTTCAAGCGTCATCATCGTCGACACGCCGCTGCAACGTCATTGCCGACACTTCATCGCCAAGGTCTTCATCAACATGGTCTTCACCAACATCTTTCTTAACACGCCGCCGCCTTGTCCACAAGATGGACACCTAGCGTCCTCTGACAGAGTTTTCTGCAAGACGCGACCTCGACGACGGCATTGACCGCGTCACTACGACGGCAACGACCGTGTCATCCACGACGACACGACTGCATCGACACGGCGTCACTATAGTGACGACCCTACACGGCCACACGGTTCTGCCAAAATCGATGTGTGCTCGATGGGCCTCCTCCGGTCTTGGCAAAACCGACGGACTCATCGCCGACGGCACCCTCTGACATCCGCAAGGTGCATCGTCCACGTCTGCAGCTCCGTCATAGCGCATTTTTTTTGCGCATCCGGCTTTGTGCGGCTTCATCATCCACGACGACTACACCATCGACCACGACTACATCGACCACGACTACATCGACCACGGCTACATGACCATGATCGGCTACCTCGACATTGACATTAATGGCTTGGTCTACAGCAACACATCGGCAACAACTCCAGTCAACAGCGTCTGCGTCGTCACCAGCGTCCACGCCACTCTCGCTGTGACCGCGGGAGCGAATAGAGGAGAGTCCAGGGAGGCACCAGAAGGGGACGCAGTCACCACCCTAGGTGCTGACCCATCACCCATTAGAGACGCAGTTGATGATGGCGCAACGGAGAAGACCACAGAAGCACAATACTTCAAATCTAGTCGTAATCATCCGTTTCACTCCCGCTACGACTGAGGGGGAATGTTAGAATATAAGTTGGGTTAAATATAGAGATAAGGAGTAGAGATTGAATAGGTTTAAACCATGTATTACTTGTCCTCTACTCTAAGTCTCTATCCCTCCGTTGTACCTCTATATATACCCCCACAAGGGTCAGATCAATACAACAACAACAACAAACATTAGTCATCCTACATTTTCCATAACAAAAACACCACCAATGGTCAGCACACTAGTAGTTAGGTGCAGCGCATAAAATGGCATCCAACACCAAAAAATTAGTATCCTTGAAGTTGAGCCTGCCCTGAAATTACGTCCTATATTGGCCACTAAGGTGAGTGTGTATCATTGCTTCATAGATAGATAGAAAGGCAGTACAGGGGGTGGAGAGCCTCCAACACGTAAACCACTAGGTGCGCGAGTCTCCGAAGAGCAAAGGAAGGGGATGCTCGGCCGAAGTCCTTACAATTCACTTTTTTTTAGCAAAAGAGGGTTTCCTCTTCGATTTCCATTAAAGAAACCAGCGAAACAGCATCCGGATATGTTGTTATCACACACGACTTAAGCTAATCCTATTACATGCCGGGGGGAGTCTCAAAGTAAACCATAACCAAGCAGAAGCTACATAAAGAAAAGACGCCCGGGGTCAGGCCCCAAAGGATGAGTCGCACGCGCAGTTCCCCTGCTTCACTTCGCTGGAGCGCCAAAAGAAGAGAGATCTTCATTTTCTTGTCACTGCTGAATACGAAGAACCCCAAAACACCGACCTTGCGCAGCCTTGTAGGCATCACTTGCTACTTGCACGATGAGTTTTGCCCCCAGCATCAACATTTTTTCCTCTGGGTCCCTTTTCTGCAAAATAGCCCAGTCAGAGATCCAACCACAAAGCATTTTAACAATTCCCATTGGGTCAGAAATCTTATTTCTATCAAATACAATATCATTTATGCATCTCCAAATCGCCTATAACAGCGCTGAGACGCCAACCAATATAAGCTTCTTACTATCTTTCTGGAAATTTTTAAGCCAGTTTCCGAGACAATCATCAAGGTCTTTAGGAGTACATTTTAAATGAAACACACATCTTACTAATGCCCAGATAATTTTGGCCACCGAACAAGAGAAAAACAAGTGATCAATTGTTTCATCCTTCCCGCAGAACACGCAATGTTTATCCCCTTTCCAACCTCTTTTTAGCAAGTTATCCCTAGTAAGAACACTTTTCCTCACCATAAGCCATAAGAAGAATCTAATTTTAGCAGGAACTTTAATTTTCCACATGAATTTCCTGGGGAACCTCACATCAGTCGTGATCAAATATCTGTATAAAGACTTGATAGAAAACTTTCTATCAGTGGTCAGCATCCACATAGGTTTATCTCTACCCCCATGCATCAGGACTTCCTCACATCTCACTTTCACACTCTCCCAAAGTTGTTCAGTGTCACCATAGAGTGATCTCCTGAAAGTAAAACCACTCCAACTTTTATCAACAGCCTCTTTAACTGTTATCCCTTGATCATTACTGATAAAGAATAAAGAAGGGTAAGCCCCCTTGAGAGGTTCATCCCCTACCCACCAATCTTCCCAAAACCTAGTATTTTTCCATCCCCCAATTTTTTCTTAATATGTGGGTAGAAGTATTTTCTCACTTTCAAGATATTAGACCAAAACTGGGAGTCCCCATTTTTGTGTTTGATCCCAGAGAGACATCGTTCTCTATTTTCCACAACCACTTAGCTAACAAAGCAATGTTGAACATTTCAATGTTGGTAATCCCCAGCCCCCCTTGCTGTTTTGAAAGGCAACAAGTTTGCCAATTCACCAGGTGGGACTTCCTTTTATCCTCTTCTGATTGCCACACCATCCTGGCTCTGTAAAAATCTAATTTTTTTTCTAACTCCAGCTGGTAAAAGATAAAGGGACATCATGTATATAGGAATATTGGACAAGCAGGACTGCACCAAAGTGACTCTACCTGCAATATTTAGTAACCTACCTTGCCAACAGGCACATCTTTTCTTAATTTTCTCAGTTACATTCCTCCACATTTTATTACCAATTCTTTTGTTGGACACCGGTGAGCCAAGATATTTCAGGGGTGTCTCTTCCAGGACCTTACAATTCACATTACATTGATAATAGATTGTAGCCATGTGGCGCCGGCCTTAGCCCAAGCACGCATGTCATCCTTGATGGAGGAAACCAGATCGGCAATGGGTGTCTCTGTTTTATCGAATCTTGTCGATTCATTGTTTGTTTGTGTGAATTATGTTTGTTTGCATTGTTTTGGTCTACCACTCTGTCCGGCTAGCTGCTCACACAGGCCATACCGAAAAATTGGCTGCCATTGTTTGGTTTGTTGCAACACACTGTCAAGCAGGGCATCACGGATAGATAAAGAAAATATAGTTAAAAGAAAATATAGAAAACACCAGAGAGTGTACTGCCGATACATGGAACACATCAACACAAAGCATAACATGAATAAACCAGCCATGCTGACCAGAAATCCCTAACTAATTCAGCAACAAGGACATGTCTTAGCCCATGAACGAACCCAACCCGGCCAGCAAATACAAAATTACAAAAGTGAGCGATATGATGTGAATGTGATACAAACTTGCCAATGAGAATGAAAAACTACGCGAAAACCAGAGCAGCCAAAGCCAAGCTCGCGGCCGCTCCGCCGCGCCCCCTGACTGACCACCCGCCGGCGCTGTGATCCAGCGGCTGCCCCCCGCCGTTCAGCAGCTGGTTCTGCTGCTGCCCGAACAGCCCCTGCCCTTGCCCATGCTGCCCCTGCCCGAACGGGAGCGGGCCATGGCCGCCGCTGATTGGCGCCACCGCGCCCGGCGCCGTCGGCGGCGAGCTTCCCAGGGGAAGGTGGTGCGGGTGCGGCGTGCCGTGAGGTGGTGGCGAGAATGCCATGTTGTCGTCGTCCGATGAAGCTGGTGGCGTGGCGATGCCCGCGCCGGGAGATGACACGAGTGGGGGCGTGTCGACGGGCGGCGATGGCGTCTGAGGCGGGACAAAGGGGGTCGGAGGAGCTGGAGGTGGTGACGAGTGCAGAGGCTGGTCCGGCGACTCGGGGATCGGGTGCCTGACTGCTGGCGGTGGCGACGAGTACAGAGGCTGGTCCGGCGTCTCGGGGGTCAGGTGCATGTCCGCCGGTGGTGGCGACGAGTACAGAGGCTGGTCCGGTGTCTCGGGGGTCGGTTGCATGTCCGCCGGTGGTGGAGGCAGCTGAAGGTCCGGCCAGTCCGTTGACGGGTCAGACAGCGGAGGCGGCGGTGGCAGCGGCAGGTCGGGCAAGTCGGCGGAATCGTCGTCGTCGTCAGCTGGCGGTGGCGGCGGCAGCATCTGGTCAGGCGACGTGTCAGCTGCTGGTGGCGCCGTTTGGTCTCCGAAAGTGAAGCCCGAGCCCCACGGACTGGCGAGAGTCGACGTCGCCGACGGCGGGAGCACGTCCTCCATCGAAGGCGACGACACCGGCAAGGCCGCGGCGCCGCACCTCCGCCCCGTCCACGGCTCATCCCTCGTCCTCCACACCGTGACGCCGTCCCTGCTGACGATCCTCATATCTCCGGCGCCGTCGAGGCTGAGCATCGCGGGGTCGGAGTCGACAGCGGTGTCCCACAGCGAGTGCCCGCCGGCGAAGAGCTCGAGCCCCACCGGCGAGAAGGCCAGGTCGCAGGTCTCGGCGCCGCCCACCGGCGTGCATTCCGACTCCCACACGCTGCTGGTCCCGCCGCCGCCCCCCTGCTGCTGGACGACCTCGATGTAGCACACGTCCCCGCTACCGCCATCGCCCACGGCGGCGCGGCGGAGGTACGCGGCGAACGACCCGGAGGGGGACGCGAGGAAAGGCTGCGCTGCGCTCTGGCCGCCGTCATCGGCGTCGGCGAAAGCGGCCGGCGCGACGGTGGCGATGATCTGCTGCTCGGTGGTCCTTGCGATGTAGCTGGAGAGGACGGCGAAGGCGCCGCCGGAGAGCCGCAGCAAGAGTAGCACTAGGATGGCAAGGTAAGAAGAGGCCATGGCGATGATGGTGTGAGGAGCTTGGCGATGGGTGGTGTAGGGTTTTAACGGAGGTGGAAGAGGGTTTGGTGCAAGCTCAATTTGTGGGGCAACTCCAGTGTGTAGTGGGGTAGTAGGAGAAAGGTGTGCGTTGCATGGAGTGGAGAGCATCTTAGTCCAGTTTGGCTGTTTGGGATATGATTTCAAATTGAGATGCTGCGTTCAGTCAGATGGAATTTTTTGGGTGTGCTCACCTGTTCCAACAGCTAGGGCATTAGATGCATTGGAGGTCTCTAACCTTGCTGCCACCTCTCCTTAAAAATATTAACACAGAACAATTCAGGATACAGCTAGTAGTTTTATGATGTGTCATCACTGGATTGACAGAGCATTAGGCCATGAAACCTACTCCCTCCGTTTCTAAATATTTGTCTTTTTAAAGATTTCAAATGAACTACCACATACGGATGCATGTAGACATATTTTAAAGTGTAGTCACTTATTAAAATCTCTAGAAAGACAAATATTTAGGAACGAAGGGAGTACTAAACTACTACTTTCAATCAGCAGATGGTCAAACTGTTGGTGATAACCTACCCAGGCATGAGTGATGCATGGTCAGGAAAAACTTGTGTGTGAACCATATCTGCATCCGAGAAGCATGATACTACACGAAAATGTCCTTCAACAGCATGCAGCATGCAACCACACATGTCCCTCACCATAGCGAGGCGTTCCATGGCCCGCTGTGCAGGCGCCAAAAGCACCGAGAAGACTAACTGGAACATGGTCGTCGAAAATAAGATGTGCGGCTACCATATCCAAGTGCACCAAATGATTACACGAAAATTTTCAGGAGCATACAGGTGTACAGCTTTACTACAGTTCAGTAAGGGAAATCGTTGCAGACAACAACACTGATGATCTTCGGATATGGCATTAGCAAAATCACCGTGCTAGTTGCTACATAAATCCAAAGTAGAAACACTTCAGTTCTCAAACCATGCTGCATCATGCTACAAACACTAATCTCCATGGATCGTGTAGCGCTCCCACTTCTTAGTCGGGTCATAGATCTGCAAGGAAATACAAGTGGTTACTTGTCTGGACGAATTTGCCGACAATGCAGACAGATCATCCTCAAGTGAATGAAAAGATAAAAGGGTCGGTGCCAAACCTCCCATCTCGAGGCCGGGAATATGTGTTTGTTCTTCTCGTACCAGTGCCTCTCCACAACCTTCCCCGCATGAGACTGCAACCATCAAGAATGATATTATTAGACATCTGGGTTCTGGAATGCCGCATGTGGGCACCAAAAATAGAAGAGATTGGTCAGTCACCTCATCCTTCTCTTTTGTTGCATCAGCAATGGTACGCACATCCTCGTGAACATCAAAGTGGAAAAGCTGGAAACAGAAATCAGCGTCAGTGATTAATACCTCAACTCATTAGATCGTGAAGAGTTTATATAGAAAACCAGAAGGTTATTGTGTGGTTGAACACGAACAAGTGTCATGTGATTTTCTTTTATACATTGCAGTCTCACCATCAGCATTCATAAGTGCGCTAAACTATATTGAGACAGCACATATGATATTACTGCGCTTTGATGATAGGTGATAAAAAAACAGTGAGCAGTTAAAAGATAACGGTGATGCAAGCCAGAAACTCAAACATCTAAGAGAAGCGTATCAGTTTTGCATATATCCATGTTTTAAAATCTAGGGGAAGCTCCAGAATAACAATAAACATATTAGAGGAAAGAAAAGAAAACAGTGGTAGTTAAGGAACAGGCATTACCGGTCCACTCTTGCCCCTTGCTTTATTAATGATTAACTCGTAGAAGCTGTGTTGCTGTCAAATCAAAATAACAAACATGAAATGGGAACAGAATAAAACTTACTAAAATAAAACAAAAGGCGCAACTTATTGGGGAACAAACTCAAACTTTACATACATGAGGGATAATGAGATCTTCCTTCACATAGAGTAGGTTCTCAACTGATGTTGTCCGTACTTCACGGAACTCCGGAGCAAGCTGCTGTTGAACAGCCCTCAAGAATTCTCCAATAGAGTCACCTTTACGCACCTGGGGGTGTAGAATAATTTGTTTGAAATGTACAGTTCACATCTTTAGAACAATCAAAAGAGGAACAATTTTCCAGTGCTAAAAATGCACCTGGATAGCTCTCCTGTGACCAGTACCATCCCAGTAACTGTAAGTGATTGAAAGAGGTTCATCTGAAACAGGGATATGCTTGTTTATTCAGTTCTGATACAAGAATAATCCAAAAGAGAGATACACATTAGATTAAAAGGTATTATGCTATCAGAATGTGGCAGTACTTCTGATCAATTCTTGCTCACGCGACCACTGCATCTTCAAGCGTTCTCGCTCTGCTTGTTCCTCTGCCTCTCTCTCTCTGAAGTATCATTCTTAGCAAACAGCTTGAGGGTTAAACAAAGCTGGAAACCGACAACCAACACTCCAAGGAATCATAAACTAAAAGATATACCTGTCAGGTAGAAAACTTGTCTCAACTGTGGGATCCTTTCCAAGTTGTTTCTTCTGAGTTTCTTCTGTAATGAATAATGAGCAAAATATTCATACACTGATAATTCATAAGTAGTTCAAAGGGTCTATCCATAAAGAAACAGTGCCGATAGGTCAATACATATCCCAGGGCGCTATGAGCACAAACAGTGAGACTGTAAATAAAGAGAACATAATCATGTTCCGTTGCTATCACCAGGAACCGACCATTGGCTTTGTCTAGTCTAGGTTCAGTTATTTCCAACTTTCCATGCAAGGCCATCTACACACAACTTTCTATGCAAAAACTCAGGACATGACAACAAGGTGACATTGCAGCCTACAGTGGAACCAATCAAATGATTGCTTTGCCTCGTTAGCACTTGAAAGCAAAGTAAATTGCAAAGAAGTACGTGCAGCTGAAGAAAAAACTATTGGTCCACAAGAATTAAAACCTTGCAGATTCGCAAAAAAAACCGTACAAATAGAACACCACGAGTATTGCAAAGAATTGAGGTCAAGGGAAATCAGTGCACATTTTCACTTCCAAAGTAAGCATTACCATACCAGGTATGGAATTCCAAATTTTATGTGAAAGACTAAATACCAATCAAGTAAGGACCAAAGCAACATTTCATTTAGAATGTAGTATTATCATACAAAAATTCCATCAGGTTGTATACTACTATTCCAATTCATTAACATATAGGTTATAGCAACATAGGGATCGTCAACAATGAGTTGTTGAAACGAAAGAATGACTGGTCTAATTTGAATACTAAGACACAACACCAATTTGTGAACAGAAGAGAGCAACGCATACAAAGGAATGACATATGTACTATTATTAAATGAAATTCATCTACAAAGTCTCAGCTGTGCTAGCATATGAAAGAAAGAAAGAAAGAAATATGATATCCAAACTGCACGCAACAATCTTGATCACAAAAGTACATAAACAGTCAAACACAGAAAATCAACAGTCAATATGAAAGGTAACAGATGACCTGATTATACAAACTGAAACGATGTATTATTGAGAAAAATAATCACACTAGTAAAGCCAACAGAACATGAGTAAATAAAATGAAAAGGTTGGAACATCATACGGTTCTCAAACTCATCCTCGTCACTTCCGTTCCCAATGTCATCATAGAACGACAAGCGTGGATCTCCCCTCACTCTCCTCTTTTTCCTTTTCTGCATTTGCAGTTCTTCTTCTCTGAAACCAACAATACAACACTTAAATTGGCATAAGGAAAAAAACTAAAGTAAGTTTCTGATTCAGCCAAGCTAGGATTTCAAACTCACTCTTGTTGCAATTTTTGAAGCTTCTCTTTCTCTTCCTCCTCGATCTTAGTTCGTATGTTAACCCTCTGCTCAGGCAATGGGTGAAAATTAAGTGAACAAAATTTACTTTGCCCGGGAATAGACAAGGAAAGGTACATAAATGGTCTGTCTATTACCTTCTCAACATACTGCTCCCTCGTAACTAGGCCGACAGTTTCCTTCTTGAATGCAGTCTCAAGAATCTGAAAATCACAATTCCTAGTGTTAGCTTGTACTAAAATACAGCTCCACGGTATACATTTACACGGCACTTGCAAAAACCTCTATAATCCTGTGAAGAAGCCATGTCAAAGATCCAATGAAATAACTCCACTCAGTGACTTAAATTAAAATACATACATAGAATTCTGAAAAAAGAATCAGTACTGCTAGTTCTGGGTATTCCTAAGCGAATCATTCAAGTGCCAAAATCCAACGTGCAGGTCCTACACCCTCCAGGATTTATCAACTTCTCATCAAATCCAACAAAACACCAGCCGAACAATACTGCAAGGCATCGACCAACACTGTTTACCAAATATATAAGTACCCACATGTCCTTCAAGGCTATAAACTTACATCTTCTGAGTGCAGTTATCCAAGTAAAGCTAACTATGCCATGGCAACCACAACAGATAATTCTCCAACAACAAAAGTAACAACATACCACAGGGCTGACAAATCGAGCAATTACCTACTCATGCCAAAGCGCACCCAAATGTCTCTATTAGTCCAACAGCATCTAAATCGAACTCCACATGCATGCTAGTAAGGGAATCCACCAGCAAAAACAGACGAAGATTTGGTCGCGAGCCAAACCCACGATGGATGCGGCGACGATTTTACCTCGGAGGTGCTGGAGCCGAACTGGAGGAGGCCGGGCTGCCCGTCGGCGTTCTTGTTCTTGAGCTCCTCGATCTTCCGGCGCTCCGCCTCGCGCTGCTTCTCAAGCCGCCGGATCTTCACCGCATCCTGCGCGGTGCCCACGTACCCGTCGCCGAACCCCGACATCCTTCCTCCCCGGATCTCCCCGTGTTGCGGCCTTGCCCGAGGGAGTGGCGGTGGGGGGTGGGGGTGGGGGGGCGAGAGGGAGCGCCGCCGCTGTCCGACGGAGAGTGGAGGCGGCGGCCGGCGGGAGGTCGGGTCGCCGAGAGTGGAGGAATAGGGCGATTTCGGGAAGGCCTCGATCGCGGAGTCTATGCCTCGCCTACTGCGACATATACCACGCGATCGCCACCAGGGCCACCCGATCTAGGCCGGCCCGGATTGAGGTCCAGACAAAGAGATGAGAAAACTCTTTCTCTCCCGTTAGCCTAAGAACAACTCCAACGGGCCGACCCAAACGGACGGCACTTTTGTCCTTTTTTGTTTGTTTGGATCGGCCCGGCTGATACAAACGTCTGGTGTTATGTTTGAATCGGTGCGAGCGCCCAACGCTGGCCTGACCCATTTCGTCGGCGCGCCAAAAAAAAAATATTGCAAGCAGTTTGAAAATAAATATATGCATTTAATTAAACATAAAAGCCGGCCATGAAGGCCGGTGAAAGTCCACATTACATTAATAAAAACACTAAAAACAAGACAATGCGCTGCCCTAGGCGTCCTCATCGTCGACTGCGTCTGCGTCGGGACCGGTGAGGTCGATCAACGTCGGCGCAGGGCCGGCTGAGGGGAACGTCGTGTTCCAGACGGCGGTGATGTCGGGCTTTGCCGCCGCTGCCTGGGCCTGGCGCGCCTCCTCGTCGGCCTCGCGCTCGAGCATCTACAGACGCTCGCCCTCCCGGTGCTTCTCGGCCAGCCGAACGCGGCGCCAGTGGTCGAGGTAGGCCGTCTCCTGCTTCTCCGTCGCACCGAGCCAGATCGGCGGAGCGCTGACCCACTCGCGCACTACTCTAGTCCAGGAGTAGCGCTCGCGGTAGGCCGGCTCCTCCGGCTCGGCTTTGGGCGGGGACGACGGGGCCACCGGTGGCACGACGCAGTCGCCCGCCGCAGAGAGGGTCATGGCCTCCGCCATGGCAGCCTCGAAAGCCGCCTCGTCCGCCTCCCTCCATCGCTCCTCCTCCTTGCTCTCCTTGATGGCCGCCTGGTAGGCGGCCTCGGCCTCCTGGTCCTCGTCGCGGACGACGAGCGCGGGCGGCGGCAGGCTGTGGTCGATACCGCGGACGCCGCGTCGCCTCGCCTCCTCGTACTCGAAGGCGAACCATCGAGCCCAGTTGGGCGAGTCGGCGGCGAAGTGCGGGTCAGCGCGCTGCTCCGACGTCAGCAACGCCCGCCGACGCCACACCTCCTCCTCATGGGCCCTCGCCGTCTGCGGCGCCGCCGGCACTGGGATCCTCTCCGGATCCAAATGCCAGTCATGCGGCAGCGTCACGTCTGGGTACGGCAGAGGCACGCGGTGGTGCCAGTGCCACTCGGCCTGGTGCAATGGCACGTTGATGCGCTGCCTCTGCCGGGGAGCGCGCGCCGGCGCGGGAAGGGAGGGGGAATGGCGGGCGGGGGCTTTGCCCTTGCGGCTGCTGCCGATGCCGAAGAAGTAACCCATGCTGGCGGTGGCTAGGGTTGTCGCCGCCATGGGAGGAGGGGTGGCCAGATGGGGACGTGGGGCGAGTGGTAAGTGGATGAGGACGGCCCCGCTACACGCCCGGCTTAAAAAAGGACGATCGCTGTCGCTGACGCGTGGGCCCAAGATGGGCGGTCTTCATAAATTATGTTGACCGTGGCGGTTGGGTGGCCGCCAGGTGGGGACGCGGCGGACCGCGAGAGGACGCGCGGTGCGTCCGCGCCGACGCATTCCAGACGCAATTTTGAGCCAGAAATGGGTCGGCGCGGACACGATTTGAGTTTGGGCCGCCACTTTTGTCCGCGTCGACCCAAACGGACGCGGGCGGACGAAATGGATCGCCCTATTGGAGTTGCTCTAAAAAGAAAGAAGTATACAAATCACCCCAAAACCCAATCTTTGGGATACAAAATACCCCTTGAACTCAAAACCAGAACAAATCACATCCTCAAATTACTAAAACCGGGTTAATAGCACCCTTTAGTGGTTTCAATCAAATCTTGAGCGGTTTTGTCTCCCCTGATGCCGATTAGATCCTGACAGGGCGGTCCCATTAGCCAGTTGTCCCCTTGCTTCTCCTCTGTCCTTTGTTCCCCTTTGTCTCTCCCGCAGAGAAAATCCCCACCTCGCCTCTCCTCTCGCCAGTCGCCGGCGCCCCGCCCCGCTTCTCCTCTCGCCTTTCGTCGGCGCCCCGCCCTGCCTCTCCTCTCGCCTTTCGCCGGCGCCCCGCCCCGCCTCGCCTCTCGCCTTTCGCCGTCAACCAAGCAATGGCGTCTTCAGGGATCTCCTCATGAGTCGGGTGTCGACCAGCGGAAGCAAGGGTACGCAGGCGTCGTCGCAGTCGCCGGTTCCGTACCGACATGGCCCAATGGAGTACGAGCCGCTACAGTATTGCCGCTGTGACATGAAAGCCTTGGGATGGATCTCATGGAGCCCGACGAACCGAGGGAGGAGGTACTACAACCGCGGCAAAGCACTGGTATTTTTTCTTGCGCTTGTTATGCTATTAGCCTCGAGTCTGTAGGAGCAAGTATGCACTGAATGAATGGACTGAAAAATCTTTGTCCCAGTTTTGGGGTTGTAGTACTGAAAAATTAGTATGCAGGGGCAAGTAGCCTCGAGTCCGTAGGAGCAAGTATTTTTTTGGAAATTAGTATGCACTGAAAAATTAGTCGTACTAGTAGAATGCTCGTCCGTTGCTACGGGCTACAATACATATAATATTGCATTTAAATGTTTTTACTGAAGCCCAAGAAATTAAATTGGTAATCATCTGACCTCAATACAGATGTTTGGTTGTATACTGAATTCGTATTGGAAACACCTGGCCAATTAGTTGTATACGGAATTCGTATTGGAAACACCTGGCCAATTACATGCCGCTTTCGCTCCAACGCAAAGCTCGTTCCAACCATTTGGATGGATACCACTCCATTTTCCTCTTACTTGTCCATCTCCGGCAAAACTTACCCCTTCGACCCCTAGCGCCCAAGAAAAGAAAGAAAAAATGAAAGGAGATCTCAGGGCGACATATGTACCAAGGCAGCGGTGACGCAGGTCTGTTTCTCCCCCATTCGTACCTCTCCTCCCACTAGTAGAAAAAGCACCTAATGTGAGACACATTAGTCCCGGTTTGATTTTGATTCGGTACTAATGGTACCATTAATGCCGGTTCGAACAGCTATGCATTAATGTCGGTTCGTGTTGAACCTTTAGTATCGGTTCGTGCCACGAATCGATACTAAAGGGGTGGTGGCAGGCTGGCGTCAGGCCGGGGCCCCACGATCACCTTTAGTACCAGTTCGTGGCACAAACCGGTACTAAAGGGCTAACCTTCAGTACCGATTCATGCCATGAACCGGGACTAAAGGGG